CATAGGTTCCGCTGGTCCTCGCGAGATTACGCGTGGAGCCTCTCTGCTCCTGGCAAGATGATAGAGATAGGAAAGGTTTAGAGTACCAATGATTCCTTCTGGGAAACAGAATTCTTGAGTCTTTCGATCCCTTTCTCGCCCGCTTCTCTCTCTCTCTCTCTCCCCCCCCCCCCGCCTTGTTCTGCGAAAGCTGCCCATAGAAAACAATGCAGAAATCCAGGGATGTGGCATCGTTGTGATGAGACAACAGTGTGTCCATTACATACGCGTTGAGGGCTGGGATGTGTAGCAAAGCATGTAAGAGGGCCAGCTCTTTTCAATACATGTTTTATTTTACATGGTGTGAAGAACGCGGATAGAGATTTTTTTCCTATAAGTAGAATTAGTATTGTCATCCAATGAAACGGAATAGTGAGAAATTCAGATAACAAGAAGGTGATGGAACTGAGGACCACTAACTTAAGAGACTTAAAAATGTATTTATGTAGAGCATTTTTCTACCGCCCATTCAGAATGAGTCTTTGTGCAACGTGCAATAAATTGGCAGGAGGCATCGTGCTTTTATTGTCCATCTTGTCTTTCTTAATGGATTTTCCACAGTAAAAAAAAAGGATGGAATAAGCTGTGGGAAACATGGGACGATTATAAACGGAGGATGACATTGCCTGGACCATCCCCATCCACGAAGTGCAATTGAAGCCTTGTCAGGAAGCACCCCAGGGAGAGGAGTGTTTGGGGAACAACCCACCAGGTCTGGAGTCCCAAATCCTGGGTGGCAGCTTCCCCATCACCCTGCTGCCTGTGGGCACTTGTTGAAACAAAGGTCCAGGGCCCCCGATGATCCCACAGGGCGAGCTGGCTTTTGGCCCACATGCGCTTCACCTTCTGCTGCTCCCACCCCTTGAATCTGCGCGTTTTGTTTTGTTTATGAAATCAAATGCCCTTCTCTTCCCCGTCCATACAGGGTCTTTCACAAATAGGTTATTTGCATTGCTGTACAAATAGGAGACCATATCCTTTAATCCTCATTCCCTTACAACGCACAACTAGCACTAGTTGTATCAAGGAGTCATTTTTGACCCCACTAGAAAGTGCCCAAGGCAAGAAAAATGAGAATCTGAAAAACCTTTGTTCTGACTGAAATTTTCTCTTGGGGTTACAATGAAGGTAAGAATGACTTTCAGGTATCAGCAAGTACAGGTGATTTAAGGTTTAATTTCTTCATGAGGCTATCCAAAATGTGAACATCTGCATAAAAATAGTAAAACCATTGACTTTTTTTCCGCATAACAATAGTTTGGCCTACTGACATTAAAAAAAAATCACAGTAGTTTTCCTTCAATTGATTTTAATTCTGTTTTCTGGAAGTTTTGGTTAAGAATTCTTGCTTTAAAACGTGACAAGACGATCTGTATTAAATCTAGCTTTGTGACTTTTGTCTGGGGTGTAAAAATACCCCACACAGTTATTCTTATGGAGATTCTGGGGTACTTTTCTGACCCAGGCATGCTTGCTTTTTTAAGTAAATGTAAAATGATGTTGAAATTTAGGGGAATTCCAGTTACCCCAGAATGCAGGACTTTAGAAATTATGTAAATTAGCATATGCAAACTTGAGCATTGTTTATTTATTTTTGTCTAGTGGGTCCAAAGCCCAGATCTAGAACTGCCCCTAATCCCAGGGTTCAACTTCAGTAAGACCAACCTCTGATTGAGAATTTGGGCTGATCTAGATCTAGCCTGAAGGTCCCAGTCATGCCATAGAATTGTTGCATGGATAGCTTAAGCAAAGGTCATGAACCATTTTGCAAGTGCTCAGGTGGGAATCACAGCTCAACCAAAGAGGACATGCTCTGGATACAGGAGATTCCAGTTTAATTACAGACATCTCCAGTTATGAGAAGCATGCTGATACTGACAAGAGATGCAGTCTAAGATTTTGCAGCACTGCTGACTGTTGAAATAGTGAACACTGGGCTGATAAGACTTGGGATAAGCCAGCCTTTGACACAGTAATTATTTCTTTATCCTTGTCAACTTCGGACTTTATTATGGTTCATTACTTCTGTTGTTATTGCATGTTATTTTGAGAACTTAGGAGGGCTTGCTTTCCTAAGCTCTCAAAGTCTGAGTATGCATATTCTTGGGTTAGTACACTGAAAGCACAACCCTACACACGTTTAGAAAAAAAGGCCTATAACTGCTGGAAGATGTAGGATGTTTTTCTGTCTAAACAAGTATAGAATTGAACCCTCAGTTTAGTTTTTGATATATACCACCGGTGTTGATCTAGGAACTCACAGTACACTACTTACAACAAAATCTCCTGTTTCCCTTTGTGATTACCTCATTACTGACGGCTTCCATCTCCTGGACAGCTTCTTCCCAGAAATATATCCTGTAGATTAGTTTTTTCAGTTAATCATACAAAAGAAGCATAACATTGCAGGCACCAGGAAGTGCCCTTCTGTTTAGTTCAACTTGTCCAATAAGTACAATGACCAGTTCTTAGCCAAGAACATGTCACAGTCATTAAGAAAAATAGCTCTTTTTCAAAATATAAACCTGCTGAACTATTTCAGTGGCACAGGCCATTCCCTTCTGTTATTCCCGTTCATACCAGTCAGTGTTTGCAAGAATGCAAAGGTGTGTAAGTGAAGTTTTTTATTTTTGTTCATCAGAATATTGAAACAAGGTTGGGTTGTTTCTCATCCCTCCTCAAATATGTTATGAACAGCAACGAAAAGGAAACAGGCTCATTCAATATCAAAAGGTACTGCTGAATTCTAGAAAATTGTCTCCTTCAGATTTTTAATGTTTGGTTATAGCCACGTAAATTCAGATTTAATATCAACAATGTTAAATAGATATTAAAATAGATTTTAGATGGATACTACATATATTTTAATAGATACTAAAACAGATGCATTTAACTGGTATTAAATTCAGATTTAATATCAACAATTAGATCTAATTCATACCGTTTCCACAATAATGTGGAGTTTGCCATCATTTTCTTCCTATGGCTTCTGGCCCTCACAAAAGGGCAGAGCAGATGGGACTGCTGCATGTGCATTTATGAAGATGGCCCTGTCTCTTTGCAATTTGTCAATGAAATGTTCAAGAAGAAAAACAGTATTAACCAACAAAGCACCCACAAGAACAGGAGCTGTTTCTGTGAAGAGGATTTGTCAGCATTTAAGCAGGGGTGGGCAAAAATTAGGCATCTACTTCAGCTCCCAGAAAGCCCAGGTGGGACCAATGGACAGGAATGCTGAGAGTTGACATTCAAAACATCTGGAGATCTCCTTTCTGCCCTGCTTTGACACAAGATATCCTGAAGCATGGTTGTGGCTGTATAAGGATGGATTAGTTCATATGCCAGTCACTGACAGCCAGAGTGGTGTAGTGCTTAAGAGTGCTGGACTGGGACTCAAGAAATCTGGGTTCTAGTCTCCACTGAGCCATGGAGCAATCAGAATTTCTTTGGGCCAGCCCAATCTACCTCACAGGGTTGTTGTTGTGAGGATAAGATGGAGAGGGGGTGGAAAATTACATAAACTTTTCTAAGTTCCTTGAAAGGAAAAAAGGTGGGATATAACTATAAAAAATAAATTCTAATTTTCTATCACACCACTCTGTCTCAGGTGTGTGCACAGTGCAGTCCCCCCACCCCCCATATGGATGTGTCAAGTCCAGTGTTTTGCACACTGCTTGTGTGCAGTCCTCGGTCCTCTTGCATGTCCTCCTTCAGGCAGGAAGCAGCCCTGTTGCCTGTGAGTTCTATCTTCGAACTGTCGGATGTGCCTTTGGAAGAATCTACAGGAATTCCCTGAGGGAGAGGGATAATATCAAGCATGGCATCCTCAGTCAGCTCCTTGGATTGGTACAATTGATGCTGCCACCTCAGAATTCTGCCATCTCCCATGTTCTGTGTGAACCAGGCCACAGATAACACAGAATTGTTTGGTAGAATCCTGGGCTTTGCTACTGCAGGTTGGAGTTGAAGACTTGTTTTGCTGTGTTTTCTCTCTCTTTAAAAATCTCCCTGTGTATTGTAAAATAAAACTTTAGAAGTGAGTATGCTAAATAATTCTTATATGCTAATCTACAAGGAAGTGACCATTAGGCATTGGCCACTGGCCACCCCACGCTGCTGATTAGGAGCATCATGAAAGGGCAGTAAGTGGCTATTAACTGACTTTTACTAAAGTTTACTATTTTACTAATTATTTTTACAAATTGATTTACTATATTTATTGGTAGAACTAATAATAATTTTATTATTTTATAATAATAAAATATAAATGAGGCAAGCTCATATGTAGTAAGCATATTATTTCGTATCTTATGCAACTTAAGCTCCAAAACAATTTCTTTAAATCCGTAAACTGTCACTTTTTCGTCTTTACTCTAGAGGAAGCACTGGGGTAAATCAAAAAGGTCCTCCTAACTTTTGTCCCCGACACTACAGTGTTGATGCTTGAGTAATTTATTTGTTTACTTGAGGAAAGATAGAAAAGGTGAAGTTGCTACGCAAGAAATGGAAGCAATCTTCTTTTCGGTCCTGAGGCTGCCATCCTGGGAGGAGGTCGGGCGTACTTTGGACAAAGCATTCATGCGGTACGAGTGCTCCGAGATCGGCTAATACTGAGAACATGCAATATAGAATAAACACTTAAATGTACCTTTAAACCCCAATTAGGAATAAGCACAACGCAGCCAGCATGACCAGGCGGCGGGAGAAAGATAGAGACAAAGAAACTACCCCGATATTAAAACACGGAACTGGACGCGCCAGGAACACTTGGTCACTCCCCCCGGAACAAGCACGCGTAGGATTGCGCGCAGCCTCTAAAACCGAGCGGGGGAGGAGAAAGAGGGTGATTTATCACGTGACAACAGGCACCCCCTCCCCTCCGGCCAAGCCACTGCGCGCAGGCGCGCCGAGGAGCGGAGTGGATCAGCCGGGAGGAGGCGTGCACTTGTACCGTTGAAAAGCCTCCAGCGGAGACTGGAGGGAGCAAGGGATGGGCGATCTGTTTGGGTACCCGTCAGTCAGCGAGAGCGGAGATAGAAACGCAGGGTTGAGCGCTTCAGATTCTCCAGAGGCAGGAGCAAAAGATAAGGCGCTAGTCCTGTAGCTGGGCGGCCTCCCCGGTGCTGCCCGGAGCTTTCCACATAGAAGAAGCGGCTGGAGCAGAAGCGCGCGTGTGTTTGCGTTTCTCTTTCTCAGGCTGATGCACCTTCTCCAGAGTTTGCTTGCCGTGGTAGTCTCTTCTTAGTGGTCTGGACGCGGCGGGCTGGCCATGATCACCCTCCGCTTGTGGGATCACCTGAGGGCTGGCAGCTCCGAGCTGGACTGGTGTGAAGATAACTACACTATTGTGCCCACCATCGCCGAGTTCTACAACACGGTGCGTATCACAGATCTGTCTCGTCTTTGTGCATCGGGCGGTAGCTCTGCAATGTGCGTGTGTTGGGGAGAATCTGTAAATTCGTGATGTACGAGTGCATTTAATTCGTCATGCACTTCTTCCCCAGCCCTCTCCTCTTCTTGTTGCAAGCAGTCACTCACAGAAGCGAAGTGAGTTGCTATGTAAGTGGATCTTGGAGAAGTTGAGCCTGGATTCCGGGGTCAGCCTTGACTCTGTCTCCTTGGTGGAACAGACCAGCCAAGTACCGTGCATCATTTTTATTGTCCATTACAGCAGTGGGGATATATTTTTTTCGGGGGGGGGGGTAAGATGCCTACTCTTATTTTTAAATACAGTCTTGCTGAGGAGTGAGCCCCATTTGTGCGACTTCTGATTAAATGCCCACATGCATGCTGTGTGGGACATTTATAATTTTGAGGACTTACTGTGTTCATTTATTTGTTTTATTGTATCGATAATAAAATTGTCTTTTTTCCTGCAAGAAACCCAAGGCAGATTACATAATCCCCTGCTCCATTTCATTCTGTCATACAACTCTGTGAGGAGGACAGCTAAGAGTCAGAGACTGTCCTGAAGTTACATGATCTACTTGGCTGGGTGGGGGCTAGAACCCAGATCTTTGTGTCCCAGGCCAACAGTCCAACCATTATTCCACACTGGATAAAGATGAATTTCTTAAGAGGCTTGCTTGATTAATATGCATCCAGAGACCAGGGAATTTATTGTAAGCTCATAAGGTGTTTGGTTTTTTTTAATAATAATAATTACTATTATTTTGGTGGTGGTGGTGGTTTCCCTGGTGCAGGATTTGTAAAATCAGAACACTGAAGAAGGAATATCAAAGGCACTTAAGTGTATTTAGATATATTTATTCCCTTCCAAAGTTGGGAAAACTCAGCCATCTTCTTTAATCACCATTTAGTTTGAGAAGAGCTAGTCTGGGCTGTCACTTTGCCTGATGTTCTGATTGGAGGATAAAGCTTAAATTGAGTGCATTAGATAATAGAGCAAAGCAATGGTTTAAACTCATCATAAGCTTCAGGTTTAGCTTTGCTTTAGAAGGCAGGATGCTTGACATCTGCCTGAGCAAGTCGACAGATTTCAGGGATGACAGACACTAGCAAATTTCCTCCATGGACTTGTGAAACTTCTTCCCTCACATATATGTTAAATCACATGTATGTATGACTGCAGTGGGAAAAGCTCTCTTCCAGTTTACAGGAGGTTCTTTGCCTAGGCAGCTGGAAATGATTCTTATTAGCTTGCTATCTGCAGGCAAAACCATTAATTCTTAGGTGTATAGGATTTTGGTAGTGTGGTACTACCAAATTTGATAGATTTCACCAGCTCCTATCCTGGTGAAAAAGTTGTATGCTCTCCTGTATCCTGTCCAATCCTTGTTTGAAAACATTTAAACCAGGGCAGCTGATTTTATTTCAGATAATGTTAACTACAAGGCACATGCATTCATATTTTTAATCTGAAAATCCATGTAAGAGAGCTCTAAAACTACCCAACTGGCAACAAATAACAAGACAGCTGTCCTGTTCCTTGCCAAAGGCTTGAGAGACTATAGTCAGCTATTTCAGAGGCTCGAAGCAGTTGGACTTCTTGATGTCTAAATGTGCATTAGATGATGTTATAAAATTGTTTAACTAGTTGCCTAAAGGACAGAAAAGTAGGTGCCACATGAAAGTCTCTGGAGCAAGTAGTCCATAGAACAGTCATTCAGAGTGAACCTTATGCCAAGTAACCACCCACCTGGCCCAAAAGATGAAGGCCTCCTGAGCAGGTTCCTGCAGATTACCAGAGTGGACAGGCAGGTTCATTTACTTGCTTGACCAGAATACAGCAGGTTCCTGTCATGCAGCATCGTTGACCGTTCAGTGCTTTCAGGACTACTCCGTTCTGTCCAAAAGCCTGGAAGGTTTATAATTACAGTGATAATGAACAGGAGCAACAGCCTCACAACTCAACTGCAAACAACCTTTTGGCTATCATTAATTTCAGGCTTTTTCTTGGAATGGTGGAGGTGAAAGGTGATAGGGCCAGCACATGGCTGGAACTGGATGCACGCATCTGCTGCCTACAGATAGACACCCTAAGCAAATTCTGTACCAATAAGATCCCCAAAGCTGCTTTTCTGTATTTGCCCTACACTCCTCCACCATGTGGTCATAGTTCTAGGGCCACATTACCTTTAGCACACTAAATGGAAGCATCACAGGAAATGGTGAGTTAATACCTGGCTAAATGCTTACTTTCTCGAAACTTAAGTGACAGAAACCTAGAAACAGAGCGAGTCAGAAGGGGTCCGCTGGGCCATCAAGTCTGACCCCGGCTCTAGCCGGCTCCGCTCACGACATGCCCGGGAAGTGATCAATCTATGTATGTCTAAATTTTGAATGTAAAAGTAGAATATTTGTTCGGGAGGGTTCTGTAGGCCGTGTGTGACTGTTTAATAAAAAGAGATCCACAAAATCCACTTTTCAGTGAAATGTTTTTATGGTTCTTTTAGGTAGAACTCAAACTTTTCTCCTGAAAAGGTATTACAAAGCTTATATGAATGATGCCACTTAAACACTCTAAAAACACACACCAATACATGATATTAATACAGCTTTAAGAAAGGAGAAAGAAGGAGCAAAAGAAAGACAAGGCAAGTAGTGGGGAAGAGAAAAGGTCAAATTTCATTTTGAGGGTGTGGAACACAGATATAAATTGCTGTGGCAAGAAGTCCCTTGTAAATGAGACTGCAAGATCTGAAAATAAAACACTTGGAAACAACTCTTCAGTTCCCTTAAAATAAGGTTTTGTCATTATTGTTGTTGAATCACAAGGTTTATCACAAGGTTTAAACACTGTCCTTCAGCTACATTTAAATACCAAAGTTAGCCATAAAAATGGTTTACAAGTTATTTGTGGGCAACTTGCCCAATCCAGTAACTTGTGTACTGAAAACTGCTGAGAAAATTTTATTTTTCCACCTTATTTTTCTTCTGCAGCACCCTGCAACTTGCACATTTTACTGAGGCCTCGTCTGTGGACTGTATCTAATACTCTCCTGTACAGTTGTTTTTGGCAGAGTTTCTAATAGGAACCTGCCCTTGGGTCTTACATAGAATTAATGGTTATTGATGGACAATTAACAGATTTTCATTGGAAGCTATAGGCTTTTAACATATTGAAACGGGATGGTGGTAAATTGGTGTCCTGCAACATCAGGGGGTTGGAGCCAATGGCCTTCATGGCCCCTTCCAACTCTATTCTGTGAAAGACGAATTGTTTCTCTGGATCAAAGGAAGAAAGAATCTGCGGACATTTATGAAAACTACCTTGCTGTTTCCGCTTTAGTGTCTAAGAAGCGGTCCATTAGGGTTAAGGAGGTATGCTCCCTTCTCATTCATTAAAAAATATTCATAGCTGCATTTGTGCTATCAAGTCTTCAAAAGTTAGAGCTAGTGTAAGAACCATATATGAATCAGTCCTGAAAATAAGTTTTTCTACAGCTTTTAAGCGAAGAGCCATGCCTTAACAAGGTTTGCAACTAGTGAGTGCTGTTTAGAATGCAATCCCCATACCAGCTGACTGCATTTTGTATGTGTAAGCTGTTGTTGCTGGTAGTACTTAGCTGCCATCCTGTATCTGATGTCTGACGTGCGTAATTCTCCATGATGCTCATCTTGTGTAGGTGTGCACACAATGTTTACTTTCATGAAGGAAGCAAAATCACAGCAGTGGCTAGGCTAGCATATAATGCCAAACCACAGTGAGATTTGCTGAAATCTAGTTTCTTCTTGTATCCAAATCTGTCCCCACGAAGAAAACAATTTTAACCAGTACAAACCAGAATGAAAACCTGTGGTTAGTTGTTGGCTTATACGGTCTATTTCAACTGAGCATGGCTTATCTCTCACTTATTTGGGCTTGTGTGCTGAAACAGAGGTGCCTAGCAAGAGCAGCCTGAAAAGGGCATTGCTGAGAAAGCTGGCAAAAGCCATGCAAGAGAAGCAAACCAGAAATAAGAAAACAAGCTGAGGTTTGTTTGCGCACCCATATATCAACCCATGGCCAAAGCAACCAGTCATATTTAACATAGATCGCCACTTACTGTTACATGTAAACACAGCCGATCATCTTCCCATTTAGCTGAGCTGAGATCTGCAAAAGGATTGATTCCCTACAATCTATACTTTGCCTTTAGATTCATACCTGTGCATAGATGCACCTTGTCATCAATATGATGAGACACCAATTGTGTGCTCTCACCCACTATAAATTACATGGCACAGGAAGTAATAGGGCTATGAGCAGGCCTCCTGCAATGTCCTTATTCTGAAGCAGGTATTTTAGAAAGAAAAGCTGCAAATGAGAGTTTTGCTTCTCTAAATTTCAGACTTTCTGAGACTTGTAGGCCCTGAAATGCTAATTCCATTGGCCCTCCTAATCAGTTACAATGGAATAAATATGCTAATAGCAGTAGTATGTGTGTAGTTGTGGAGACTCCAAATGTTTCTTCCTGTCCTGATGTACTTCTTTAGAAAAAGTTCCTTAGGTGCGTCAGGTTGTCTCCAGCTTATGGTGACCTGATGAACAAAAGCCTTCCAAGGTGCCCTACTCATGCCAGGCCTGCTTAGCCGTTCTGAAGCCAAGGCTGATGCTTCCTTATGGAGCCCGTCCACCTCTTAGTTGTCTTTTCCTTCTGCCTTCAGCTCTCCCAAGCATGATCGGCTTCCGTGGCTTGCAGTGTAACTAGAAAAGGGCAGGTGTCTATGCTGGCTGCCTCCTATATATTGATATGTTACTCTCAAAAGTCAAGGGTTTGCCTCTGTCAGATTCTGAGCTGTGGAAAGTGGGATCTGAATGAATTATGCAAACTTTAAAAATGTGTGTGCTTCTGGTTACTTTGGGTTACTCTGCTGCTAGTAATGGAAAAGCAAGATGTCAGACTGTGAAAGGTAAATGGTTCTTGAATTACTAATTCTGCACTAAAATTAGTAACAATTTGGAATTGTTGTATTGCCATAATATATTGCCTTTGCCTATATGTCATGCCCAGAGTGTTGATATTAAAAATGATGATAACACATGTTGCTCCATAGAAATACATTGTGAACCGCAGATCACCATGTAAAAAGAGCTCGAACAGGATTATAGTACCAAGATACACTAAATCATTACTATAATTATCATCATTATTAAACCATCGTAAGCCAATATTTTGCAAATATTTCAACATTTATAGGACACAATAATTTATATACCAAACAATGGAATAATATAATAGTTTGAATAATAACCCCATTACAGATAATTCGGGAAACATAGCTAAGCATTAGTAACAGGAAGGCAGTTTCAGGGGGGTCTGTGAGAAGCAGCAAAAAACAGCTGTTGCAGTTAATTCAAAATTGGTATTCCAGGAGCCCCAAAATTCCATACTACCAATAAGATCCCCAAACTGCCCTCCCGTGCCTTCTATTGCCTTCTGTTCCTCCACGCATGCAGCCACAGTCTTAGGGCCACAATACCCATACATTTTCTCAGGCTGGGCAAATAGTAAACTGGGAAAGATTGAGATGGAGGCAGGGTGAGAGGTGGGGTGGAACACCCCCTCCACCAGCAGAGTGGCCTCAGTCTATTCAGAGGCTGCTGTTTGCCTCTTCCTTTAGAGCATGTTGGGAGATCTCATCGCACATGCCCCAGCTAGTGCCGTTTGTAACTTTCCCTTTGTCACAAGCTCACTACCTACCCTTGACTTGGAACATGGTTTTCCTTAGACGGACACTGTGTCTCCTCAGACAGTGATAAGCAGAAAATAGATCAGGCCTACTTGTAAATCTCTGGGTGCTATGTAGATCTTCAGTGCTTTCTGATCCCTTCCCCCCCCCCTTTTTTTAACAAGATCAATCGAATGGCTGTTCTTTCACCAGAATGTGGCTGTTGAACTGAAGGAGGCTTGTGGGAATTGAGAGTGTGGACTTTTGTGCGACAGGTCTGTGAGAGTAGTTACGTCCTGGTGTTGAAAACAAATGCCCAGGCTCAAATTGTGTTCAATTTCATGTAGTATCAGGTGTCTGTCTAGCTCTACTTGGTAGAGCTTGGGGATTCTAAAAGACCTGGCAAACCTGAAGTCCGCCCACGGAGAGGTGGTGCCTTGATTACAGCACAGTAATTGTGCAAGTTGTTATTATGGCACCGTGTGCCATGGTGCTGCCTCGGCTTGTCAGGGTTGGCAGTACCATTCAGCACACCGTGGCAATCACCTTGGCAGCCCGCACTGGGGGGCAGGGTCAGCACCACCCAGCCATGCCACTTTGCTGCAGGGCTGAGCTGTGTCTTCCACTTGGCCTAAGCTAGCCGGCTGCCTTGGGTGTGTCGAAGGATGCTCTCCTCTCAGAAGTGTTGGAGCAAGGCCCAGTTGCTGGTTCGATATTCTTTGGGCTTGAAGTGGAGCAGGGATGTGCTCTTGGCCTTTGCCTCTGGCAGCAAGATGTGTTGGGCTGGCCTTGATGCCTGTATCTAGGATTGGGAGAGGGAAGGAATCGTGGGCAGAATGTGCAGTGCCTTTTGCTTTATCCAGATGATTGCCCAAGTAAGTCAAGAGGTCTCCCCACCCTTCTCTCAGCATCCCCACCCATGAGACCTTAATTAAAAAAATCAAGCTTATGTCATCATTCCTTTTTTCTTAATATTTGTTTTTCATTTCTTCCCCTAGATAAGCAACATCTTATTTTTTGTTTTGCCACCCATATGTATGTGCTTATTTCGACAATATGCCACCTGCTTCAACAGTGGAATATATTTAATATGGACCCTGCTAGTGGTGGTTGGTAAGTTCTTCTATGTCTGTCCATATGTCCTGAAATGGATGAAATTGATTGATTGTTTTTAAATGGCATCCATACCAAGAAAAAATAAGGTTCTGTTAAGTTTAGCACGAGGTCCATATGAACAGGCCTCGTTCTGGAGCATAGTTAAGTCCCAAGAGAAAATAATACTGGTTGATGTAATTTTGATCTTACTACATCCGGCTGTATGCTGAAATAAGATGTTGCAGATGTTCTTGGTTCTGTGGGCAGCAAGAAAGAATGGCGTCTATCCACTCCACCGACTTTTTTGCCCAGCCTTCTGCTGCAAGCCAATCTTGCTTAAACAATGTTTTTATCATATCTATCACATGCTCTGCCACAGATGTCCAAAACAATGCCAGTAGTCTAAACTGCTAGGGTGTCAGTGCTGTGCAGCCTTACTTGTTAGCAGATTTCATTGATTTCAACAGAGCTGACTTCCAAGTAGGCATGCATTGGATTGCACTTTAGGAAACACTAACAGTGTATTTGAACCCTACTTGTTTGGAGATAAGCCCCGTTGAGCTTGGTGAGGAGTAAATCCTATAAGGTTACTCCTTCTGAGTAAATACACATAGGATTGGAGTGCACATCTCTGCAATAGACATCATTACATAACATACTTGTAATAGTCTGAGCATCTGAGCATGAGTATTCAAGACACTTTGGGGTTCTGTTGGTATCCTGCCTGCCCCACTAACTAGTAGTTTCCATTACTGAGTTAGCCCAGGTAGTCTCCATGGCTTATTGTGCAGGAGGGCATACATGCTAAGAGCATTTTTTCAGGACTTAATGACCTCCATATCAATTAGCATTTGCCCCCTTTTGTTCAGCAGGGCATGTTTTAAATCTGGTTCTAAAACATGGTTGGCAAAGTGGAATTGACAAAGTGGAGATCCATGGACAGGAGAACTTTCTATAGTTCTGTTGTCACTGATAGATCAGTGCCTGGTGGGGTTTAGATTTGCTGCAACTCAGATCCTCTGCAGAAAAGATTTGATCCAGTTGGTTTTCCGATGGCTTTGGGGGATTGTCTTGTCACCCTGGCAAGCAGTTGTGTGGAAGCCCTCCTGAAGAAGAAATGGCCTCGGCAGTTGACCTGATTGCTGATCTTGAGTGGCCCTCTCATGGAGTGGAGCCAAACAGGCCAAGCTGATGAACCAAGTGGAGCATCAACTAGAGCAATGCTGGTGGAAAAGTCAGTACAAGTCCAGTTGGACATGGGCTCGAGCTCACTTTGAAACCGTCCCTGTGGCAAGGAGGATGGAAAAGAAATGACACTTCTCTGCTACCGTTGCATCTGCACACAATCGCCCAGTGGTGCTTTCTCAGGTGCTCAGAGGCCTATGATAGCCTGACTCGTCAAAAGAAAAGGTGGAATACTTGACAGCCTGCTCCAATATTCCATTCCTGGGCACAGTGCTGGGACACTTGGTCGCTTCTTCAGGGATTTCTGGATGTCGTAAATTAACCAGATCCATTTCAAAATGGTTTCAAAGACAAGCTGCTCTGGTTGCTTTGGTGGGCAGCCTCCCCGCATCCCGTCCAGGTCCCAGGGCCCCTGCTGGTTCTGCTGCTCTGCTGGGTGGCTTGCAATGCTGTCGGCTTAAGGTATGCTTTCTGGGAATGTGCCTTAGATGGAAACAGGAGGCACCGTTGTATGGTGGCTTTAGTTGTTCTTAGATGGGTGATCTCAGACAGGGGCACTGGGGGATCCCTGTCTGATGCAGTGGCTACTGGCCCGTGCCGTCCCTCCTGGCTCCATCTTACTCCCCTTGCTATTTCACATATGCCAGCCTGGAGCTCTGGTGTTCAGCGCCACCAGTAATTCTAAACGGGTGTCGGATATCAGAGTGAAAGCGAACCAATTGAAGGGAACCAATCAAAGCTTCTTTTGGGGAGGCGGTTATTGCGCAGATGCATTTTGTAGGAATCGTCTTCATATTCATTGAGGTACACGCTCTTATCAATAATTTACGTGCTCCTTGGAAACTGACACATGGAAGAAGGAACGGATTCTTCGTATCCTTTTAACAGCTCAAAAACTGCTATTACCAAATGGGAAGGGAAAACACCCATCTCCAGTGCAGTGAATAGAGGACCGCAACAGTTTCAGTATATGAATGTGGGCCATATGGATGCCAGCTCCAAATAGATAACTTTTTTGCTGTTTGGCCCCTTTTGGTGAGGCCTGTGTAGGTTAGCAAGTTGTATGCTTTCCATCAAAATCCAGGGAAATATTTTAAAGCAGATTTTTGACCATTGCCTTCAGTGGTGCGTTTGGTGGCAACCCAGAAGAGCACCTCCTCGGGGTCCACCCCCAGGCTGTGGAACTCCTTGTGTCCTCCTGCCGGCCCACAAAGACCGCTTCATTCAAGCCAGCCTTTAGCACACGGGGGGCCCCACTGGGCTGGATGCCGTTTTGGACCAAAACTCCTAATCTCCCTTACCAGTGACTGTGCGGCCAGGGCCAAGGGAGGCTGTAAGCCAAAACACCTGGAGGGCTGCAGGTCACTCGCCATTGCTTCAGGGGAAAGGTGTAATAGATTGGTCCTTGGAAGTAGGGAGGAGCAGGAGAAAAAGCCTTCATCCTTCCGCCAAAACAGGCTGAAGAAGAAGCCAAGCAAAGGGATTAGTGGAATAATAAGACAGGAGGTACAGGGGTTGTTAATTTTTTGCAGTTTCAACCAATTTTAAAAGTCTGATTTCCAAAAATACCAGTCAGAGCTTTGCTGAATGTTCAGGCAACCCCTTCACAGATGAAGATTTTTAGAAATGTTTTCTGTGCTGTCAAGTCATCTCCGATCTCTGGACACCCTATGAATGAGCACCGTCCAAACCGGCTTGTCCTTGACAGCCCAACTTAGCTCTTGTAAACCCAAGGCTGTGGATTCCTTATGGAATCAAGCCATCTCAGTGATCTTCCTCTCCTTCTGCCTTGGACTTTCCCTAGCATGATTGTCTTCTCCAGGGAGTCTAGCGTCTTATGATGTGCCTGAAGTACAACAGCTTTAGTTTGGTCATGTTTGCTTCCATTTCAGAAATGCCTTGCTTTAAATTATTTAATAAATGTATAGATTACATGACTTATATCTAAAAAGAGCTTTACAACATCCAAAAAGATATTACAAGATCTGTATCTGACTATATCTAAAAAGAAGTTGCAAAGACATTTACAACATACAGAATTGAAAATGCAAATTATCCACAATTAAAATAATTTGAAAAAAATACTGATTCTCTCTCTTAAAACATTTAAAGCCAAAACAAAAAAAGGGGCAACTTTAAAACATACTAAAATGTTTGGTTTGGATATGCATCTTACTTAGGTTTTAGATTATCTTGCATTGTTTGGTCATTGTGCTTCTGGCTGTGTGTTCCAGTTCACTTGGACAACTTCATTTTTTAGATTATCATCATTGCAAAACCATCTGCCTTTGGTGGAGCAACTTGCCATGAGAGCATTGCTGTGGGAGTATCATGAACTCTTGGTTTTTCCTGTGCCCCTCCAGGAATTGGATCTGTCTACTTCCATGCTACACTTAGTTTCCTGGGTCAGATGCTTGATGAGCTAGCGATCCTTTGGGTTCTGATGTGTGCGCTGGCTATGTGGTTCCCCAGAAGATACCTACCCAAAATATTTAGGAATGACAGGTAATTTCCCTTCAACTGGTGGGCCTTATCAGCTGTTGTACCCAGCTTCTAACAAGAGGGAAGGCAAGAGAAACCCATGAGCGTGAAATGCTGAGTTGCCAGCAGGGCATCAAGCGTCACCATTAGAACTGCTGCTGGAATTGGGAGACGGGTCAGTTGTGGCTTCTTTTACCCATTTGCCCCTTGAAGCCGCCTCATCTGTCAATGTAGCAGAAGTGTCAAAGGTCGGAGGTTCAGTCTCCATGTTGCAACCTGACAACCCCATGAAGGAAAAATGAAAACAGCAGTGACAGAAAAGCCCATGTTGCAAGCAGTAATGAGAGGTGCAGCACGTGTTGGTTTAGGAAGGTTGAAAGCTCCTGTCCTGAAGGAGGCCGTCTAGTGGGGTCGGCACGTCGTCTTTCTCCAGATGTGTTGGGAGTGGAATGCCAGGCATCCCTCGCTGTTGGCTGTGCTGACCAGGGCCAGTGGGAGTTGCAGTCCAGCAACATCTGGAGGGGCACACGTCCCCCTCCCTCTGCCTACATTGCATGGAAAGAAAGAGTAAGGGCTCTTGTGGCTTTGTTGCTAAGCCTGCAGCTTCCCGGCAAGTTCTGTTGATGGAATTTCTCCCATCCCGGACTGCAGCTCCTCTTCTGCTTATGTCTGTAAGAGTAAGTCTGCATATTACAGCCTCCACATGGGTGCATCACTTAAGTCTCCTGCCATGATGTGGTGCAGCTTGGTACATGAGAGGCAATAAGACATGGTAGGCTGGTAGGTGTGAAAAGGACCCATGATATGCCTGACAGACATATCTTCCCTCTCAGCCCACCAGTCTGCATCCACGGGTCTTTGTGGCTCTAGCCTTTCTCCCCACACGATTGGGAACCACTGGGAGCCTAGACGTTGCTTCTTGTGATCCCTCTTTTGGCAGCCACCGACAGCCTTGCTGAAGAGCCCGAGTGGCACATTGGAGGGGCTGTCAGTGGTTTGCTTTCTTTATATTTTGTATCCCAAGCATACACAAATAGTTTAATTTTGAAAGAAAAAATCTAGCTGGATCACACAATTCCAGAGGTCCAGGAGTGCAAAAATGGGGAGCCCCTCCTGACTATGTCCTGGGGATACTTGCTGTCAAAGTACAGCAGATGCCAACCCGGTAGATTTTTTTTTTGCTTTGGGGTTGGTTTTTGCCTTTTGCTTAGTCTTGGCAGCTCTCAGTTCAAAGACGTGAATGAATTTTGCTAACACAAAGGGGGTGGCAGCATTTATCTCCCCTTGCCATTGGGATCTTCAGAATTTCTTGAATTCCTTTAATAAGTCCCAAGTTTTTCACCCATCCCCAAGACTCTGACCACTTGGGAAAACGGAAGAGTTTAGCTCACCCTGTTTTTATGGAGCTATAAGATTTGACAACCAGCTTTCACCACTCAGCTTCCTTTTGAAAGGGTTGCTTTTGACAGAACTTCCCATTCTTTTTATTTTTACTTTTTAATTTTTTGGTGGGATATATGCATTCATGCCTGCGGGAAGGCCTGGGAAAATCAGTGTCCTTCAACCTTCTGCCATACTCAGAGGTCATCCTGGCATCCATGGTTAGCACTGTTTGGTGGTTACTGATATGCCAACCCCTGAGAATCCCAGGGGCTGGCACCTCTTGGCACTGCCTGGGTCCTCTGACGGCACTGGAGATCCGTCGGCTGTTTCTGGCATCTGCCATTTTACTTCTCCTCAAGACTTCGGTGCTCTGACCTAGAGCCACTGGGAGGGAATTTAAACCGGCCAGCCAGCTGATCTGATTTCATTGCTGGTGTGTCTACCTGTTAGTGTCATTGCTTCAGTGCCTCGCTGCAGCACCTGACACCGAGGCAGGCAGGCAAAGGCCGACAGGGTCCCTGACAGTCCAGCATTTCACAAATGACTGTTCTGCAGCTTTCCACCTTCCTGTAATCCTCTGGTTGTGTTTTGTCTTCATTCACTTATTTGACTTCTGTCTACTTTGAAAAAATGATGAGATCTGAACTTGGACCCTGTTATCTGTACCCAAGAGCAAAATACAGGGGGAGCGGCAGCTGCAGTAACCATCTCTTCTAACCAGCCAGGCTCACAGGGCTGGACATTTCCTGGTTCAAGCTGACTTCCTCAGCGATATGTGCCTAAAAATAACAGAGGGTTGGCTCTGGCACAGATCTGGGGTTAGCCTTAGACAGTGCTCAGATGTTGAGCAGAGTTTGATTGGAGTCTGGGCTAAGTCTGAGACTCCTGAATACACTGAGCTTCTCAAATTAGCTTTTGCTGGTTTCGTTATCAAAAAGCACTTTGTTTTGCTTCGTGTGTGCTTTCAGCTGCCACCATGGAATCTTGTCTAAGTTTCCTTAGAAGTCTAAATCCTGGAAATGAGCCAGAAGTGGGCAAAAGTTCCTGAGGCCTTGAGCGGGCAACTGGCAACAACTCTGGAAAGTCCTTGAGGCTCAGCAGTGCAAAGAGGCTGTGCAAATCTCTGAGTTTGAATGAGCAAGTTTGGGGAAGCCCAGGCACCGAAATGAGCAGAAGCAGAGTAGGAATCCCCTTTCCTCTGGGACTGTATAGGGAACTACCCTGGTCCTGCATTGGTTGGGGAGCAGGGCCGATCTTGCCCTGATTAATTGGTTTGATTCCCACCCTGCTTTTCTGCCAGGAAAAAACAGCACTCCTAGCAGCTTGCAGTCTCGTGATGAAACCACTGATAAAACAAATGCATTGAAACACCATTATAAACACCACTTTTGAAGAATAAAAACCACACGCAACCCCGCAGACCTGCATGCCAGAGGCCTGCTTGATTGCAGAGCTCTTTGTCTGCCCATGGGAAGGCAGCAGAGGGAATCTTCAAGCTGCAAGTGGGGCTGCGTTCTGGGGGAAACTTAAGGAACTGCTGGGACAGAATGAGCTCAAACAACTGCAAGCCAACCGTGGCGAGTTGGCACTTCTGCAGTCCCTTGTTTCTCCGGCCACTCCTTCCATGAGGCCAGCAGCTTTCCTCGGGCGCAGGTCCGCCAAGCACGGTGCAGCTCAGCCTTTGTTCCTTTTACTTAAGGAATGATTCCGTGAGGCAAGCCCCTTTGAAATGGACAGAGGTCGCGCACCAGCTGCCCTTCCTGGCCTGCGCCACTCACAACTGCTCCCCCATGCCCCAAATCCAGCATCTCCACATCCATGTACAATCTGTCATTCTGTTAGCCTAGTTATTTCTGTTGATTGCAAGGCAAAATGATTCTTCCTGATGATTATTCTTCAGGGGCCGCTTTAAAGCAGCAGTGGGCATCCTTTCTGGAGTCACGACCTGCCTGGCCTTCATTAAGCCCGCCATCAATAACATCTCGCTGATGACTCTGGGTCTGCCCTGCACTGTGCTGCTTATTGCAGAGCTTAAAAGGTGGGTGCCTCTTTGTCGGCGAGGAAGCTGCTTTTCTTCCAGAGGATGACATTGGAAAGTGTGCTTAACGCTCGTGTCGAACACGGGCCGGGCCGGCTGGGTGAACTGCACGTACAGGTGAGGCAGGGCTGTGTTCCTGCAATTACAAGGTGATGAATTGACGTGCTCCCACAGGCACTGCAGGCATCCTGCAGAGCAGCATTTTCGGTGGACAAGCATTTGATGTGGTGATTGTTGCTAAATGAGACTGTTTGCATTGTAACTGACCTCATCAGAAAAGCAAGATCACAGATCTGAGAAAACCGGTGACACAGGATCACAAAATGGCACAGCCAGTCATAAAACACCCACTTCCCTGAAGGTAAATGGGTGAGGCTACAAGAATAGCAGCTTGCCCAGGAACTTAAATAAAAGGGAGAGGCAGGGTCTGAACTACAAATGCAAAATTGCTTACTTGTCTCCAGAAGGACAAGAGAAATACGCTTTTCACAGAAGGCAGGCTGGCCATGCTTCAAGAGACGGACGCGGCATTCATGGGAAGAATGCATTGCGCAACGAGAGGTGTCTGTGGGCACAGTGGGGAGCATGGGGAGCTGCTGGGGACCCCAGCTCTAAACAGTAACATTTAGTTGCAAATAGCATTCAGGGTTAGGTCTCCCCTTCATAGAATCATAGAATAGAAAAGTTGGAAGGACAGGAGATGACACCATCCCACTCAGATGGCTGTCCAGTTTCTTTTTGAATCCCTGTAGTGTGGGAGAGCTCACCACCTCTCTAGGCAGCTGGTCCCACTGTTGTATTGCTCTGACAGTGAGGACGCTTTTCCTGATGTCCAGCCTGAACCTGGGTTGTCGCAACTTGAATTGATTATTCCGTGCTCTACACTCTGGCATCAGCAAGAAGAGATCTTGACCTTCCTCTTTGTGACAGCCTTTGAGGTACTTATAGAGGGATATCATGTCCCCCCTCAGGCTTCTCTTCTGAAGACTGAACATGCCCAGTTCTCTCAGTCTTTCCTTTTAGGGCAGTGTTTCCAAATCCTGGATCATTTTTGTTGCCCTTCGCTGGACCCATTCTAATTTACCTGCATCTTAAAGCTTGGTGCCCAGAACTGAACCCACTATTCCAGGTGAGGTCTGACTAGTGAGGAGTATAGAGGAACTACTACTTTTCGTGATTTGGAAGTAATACTTCTGTTAATGCATCCCAAAATAGCATTTGCCCTTTTGGTGGCTGCATTGCATTGTTGGCTCATGTTTAGCCTATTGTCCACAATTACTCCAAGATCTTTTTCAGTTCTGTCGAGCCAAGTATACCCCATCTTGTATCGATGCATATGATTTCTTTTTCCTAGGTGGAGGACTTGGCACTTGTCCTTATTGAATCTCATTTTGTTGCTTTCAGCCCAGTGTTCAAGTTTATCAAGATTGCCCTGGGTCTTCATTCTGTCTTCTATGGTGTTTGCTTGTATCATCTGCAAATTTGATTATCTTTCCTTGTACTTTCTCATCTAAGTCATTAATAAAGATGTTGAAGAACACTGGGCTCAGGATGAAACCCTGTGGCACTTCACTGGTTACCTCCATCCAGTTTAAGAAGGTGCCATTGATGAGCACTTTTTGTGTCCAATTTAGCAGCCAATTTTGGATCCACCTAATAGTTTTCCAAGATTTATTGAAGATAATGGCCAGTGGCTCTGAGAGTTCCTTCGCTAGCTCTTTTATGACTCTGGAATGGAGTTCATTAGGCCTTGGTGAATTGAATGTGTTTATTCCATTCCTTGACCATTTGTCTGTCAGTCTTGGGCTGCCATCTCTCACTTTCAGCTTGTACTTCCTCTTGATTGCAGATTTCCTTGTGGGAGAAGACAGGCGAAGTAGGAACTGAGCGCCTCTGCGTTTTCTATGTCGTCTGTTATCACTCTCCCAGCCACTTTAAGTAGCTGGACACCCTTCTCTTTCTCACCTCTTTTGTTCTGGATGTATCTGAAGAAGGCTTTCTTGTTGTGCTTAGCCTCCCCTGCTATTCTCAGTTCATTTCCTGCTTTAGCCTTCCTGATGCAATTCCTGCAATTCCTTGCTTTTTGTTTATATTCGTCTTTCATGACCTGGCCCTGCTTCCACTTCCTGTACATATTCTTTTTCTTTCAGGCTGTTACTTAACCTTTGTGGAGCCACCTGGGCTTCCTCTGCTGCCTTCTACACCTTTTGCTTGATGGAATTGTTCATAGTTGTGCTTCGAGGATCTTCTTTTTCAAGATTTCCCACCCCTCTTGGACACCTTTCCCCTTAAGGGTGTGTTGCCATGGCACGTCACTTACCATTTTTCTGAGTTTGTTAAAGTTGGCTTTCCTGAAGTTGTTTGGCTCCAGGTACCCTTGGTCTCCTTTATAATCGAGAATTCAAGTATTGCATGGTCACTTTCCCCCAGAGTTCCCCTGGCTGTTCTTTTGTCCACCAGGCCATCCCTGTTAGTATCAAATTGAGGATAGCCGATCCTCTGGTACCTTCCTCTACTTCCTGCTGGAGAAAGTTGTCGGCCTCACATGTCAGGAATCTCTTGGAGGGGCCATGCTTGGTGAACTTGTCTCCCAGCATATATCAAGGAAATTGAAGTCCCCCGTGAGGACTACATCGTTCTTGGACATGCTGGCAAGTTGCTTTTCAAAGGTTGCATCCTTGTCCTCTTTTTGACTGGGTGGACGGTCATATGTTTTTTCTTATTTTTTGCAGTCGTTAAATTTAGCCAGATGCTTTCAGTGGGGCTACTAAGTTCCTCTTCTTGTATTTCTGTGCAGATATAGTTGTCTCTCACATATTGTGCAACTCCTCCTCCCTTGTTGTGCTTGCTGTTTTACTTCAACAGCTTGGCTCCATCACTTGTAGAGTTCCAGTAATGTGCGTCATCCCTCCCGGTTTCTGCTGTTCCCCTTGCCCACCTTGTGCCTCTCCAGGAAACTCAGATGCAGCCTTAGAAGCAGAGCCCTGTATTGGAGCTTAGACAGGCTACGCAGGAGCATCCCCTCTCACAGGTGGGAGGAGCATCTGCCTGTGTGGGGAGCTGGGTCCAAGCTGAAATGCTTCCCTTGCCTGCCTCTCGGAAGAGCCTCCAGCTTCATGCTCAGAGTGGCTCCTTCTGCTCGAGGCCAAGGCAGCAGGAAGGCCGGATGCTTTGCAGCTGGTCCGCTCGGTCTGCCTGTGGACCTCCAGGGTCAAGGAACTCCCCCTCCGTCTCCTCCCTACCCAGAAAAGCCCCTCCCTCTTTTCCAAGGCAGGCTGCTCCTCGCACTGTCTGAGCATCATCATTCAGTAACCCTGAAGCATCAAGCCCCCTGTCCCATTCCTTTTCAGACCTGGGCCAGTCTACCTGAGCCGACTCTCACCTGCGAGAACTCAGCCTCTCCCCGGCAGTGTCCTTGCTTCTTTTCAGCCCCTTCTTCCTTGCAGCAAACGGGCGTGCCAGGGCTGCTGGGCCTGTGTTCAGAACCCTGCGTGGCTCATCACGGGCCCTTTTCAACGGCCGATTGCAAGTCAGTTTGTGTGCATCACGGGGCATCACAGAGGGGTTGGAGGTAGCCAGGTGCCTTCCCACAGGCCCTTTGGCACCTGCAAAAGCCCTAGGCATGCCCTTTCCAAAGGGACCGAGGAATAAAACATCCAGCTTCTGTTCTTTGAGTGCCTCCTCTGGGTTTGTGATGCTGAGCCCTTTCTGCCCGAGGACCAAATTAAATTTTGGAGAAGCTTCCAGGAGGCCTGTTTCAGTGGTGTGTGTGGTCAGAGAGCAAACAAGGTGTGGCCCAAAGGCAAATACTGGAGGCTATCAACTTTGTAGGGATGCTTACTTAGTGATATGGGCCACTTATGTTGATGTATAAGGGAGGCTTATGGCTAATGGGGCAGGAGAAAAATCTAATAAATATATATTTGAAATAAAAATGTTGAACCCGATTTCCTCCCCAATTTTTCTTCTTCCTTACATTCATAAAGTTGTAAGTTTACTCTTGTGAAAGGATATGCTTTTGTCATGTCTTTCTTTCACTTTTCCTTTTGCCTCTGTTATATTTGCAGATTAAGAATAAAATAGAACAGGGGAAATGTGCAAAAACACTAAATGATCATTAGGAAGGGGGCAAGGCATGGAGAAAGGGCAGGCTGGACTGGCCTCAGAGTGGGCTGCAGGTTCTACTCTGTTGTTCTAGGAACACATCTTCTGAATCCATAACAATTGGGAGATTAAAAGCTACACTTTTGCAGGCACAAGTATGAGACTCAGTTGGCTTGTCATGCCAGGTTGGGCCACTGGCCCAGCTAAGGCATCGTAATGGCCAAACCAGCAGCAAGTTGGGTCTGATCTCATCTTGACCATGCAAACTATTAATTCTTGGACCACCTGTTTTCAGTGTGCAGGTACAAACACGAGTAATAGTAATACTATCCCACAGTACAAGGTTGCTATCAGGTTTACTGAGAGAGTGAACATAACACTCTCATAACATAACAGTGGTGTGGATAGGTCCTTTTAGATCTTGGACTAGAGCCAATGTGGTGTGGGGGTTTAGAATGCAGGACTGGGACTCAGACGATCTGGGTTCTAGTTCCCGCTCAGCCATGGAGCCAACTGGGTGACTTTGGGCCAGCCACAGACGCTCAGCCCAACCTACCTCACATGGCTGTTGTTGAGAGGATAGGATGGAGAGGAGGAGGAGAATGGTGTAAGCTCCTTGAGTTCCTTGACAGGAAAAGAGGCAAGAGATGAAAATAATAAATAATACAGGGACCCTCTTTTACATGGTGCGCCATTTCACTTGTAACGCACCAACTAATGTTTGTTCTGTCTTCAGCAAAGCAATGTTCTATGCTTACAACTGCTTCTGTATTTTGCATAGGTAAGAGAGGTGGGAGGAGGCGGAGGAGGAGAATGATCTGATCTGATCATTTTATATTTTTAAAATCCATTTTACATTTTAAAAATTCAGTGAGTTCATAGTACCACCAGAGGTACAGGAATATGACAGGGTTTGTTTCTGCAGCCCTGTTGCTCTTGCTGAAACCTGTTTCAAAATTGGAATAAGTACTATTTTCTTGTAGCAAAGGGTAGAATATAATACGTAAAAATAATAAATGAATATCTGCAATCTGATACATGTCTGGCCAGTCATTCTTTGACTGGATGACCCTAAAATATAAAGTATTGAAGAAGGAAACAGAAGGAGAGATCTTGTGGCATTTTGGATTGTTTTATCATAGGGTTTTCAAGGGAAAACATGGTTGCCATTGCCTTCTGCTATGAGGTAGTAACCACAGCCAACTTGGATGGCACCATCCCCACCCAGCTGTGCTACTTTCAATAACTGCCACTGCTCTTCACAAGCTCCCCTGCCCCACCAATAGAGGCATCTGTTCTCTGCTGCTGATATGAACGCTACTCAGCTTGGTGTCTCTGCTTTGACCATTCCTCCTTGGGTGACCCTGCGAGGAGACGGGCCTAGCGAGAGAGCCGGGCCTCCTGGAGGCATTGCTCTTGGCTTCCCTGACAGCCTCAGTTCCCCTCACCATTGTCCAGGTGTGAATCCAAGAGAAAAACTGAATCATACATGAGAATTTATTATTAATATTTGTGAATAAATAGTATAATAATTGCCTGTGTCATACATCAGTACCACGTTTCCTGGTTTATACATCCGGGTTTGTTTAATTACAGGGTTGCCTGTTTTTAATTCTTTCTTTTCCCTCGCCCATGCTTTTAGGTGTGACAATGTCCGAGTATACAAGCTGGGGCTCTTATCGGGTCTGTGGTGGATGCTGGCACTCTTTTGCTGGATCAGTGACAAAGTGTTTTGTGAGATCTGGTCGTCTTTTAACTTTCCCTATTTGCACTGTGTATGGTGAGTTGTGTGTATTTTGCTCTTCACAATCCACCTTTTGCCTTCCGTTTTCAGTGTTAAACCTTGTCAAAGCTGCCAATCTATGAGATGGTAAGTGTGCTATTTAAAAAAAAAACAGTGGGGATCCAAAAAAAAAAAAAAAAAAAAGGCATTGCCTTATTGCTGGATGTGAATTTCCAAGCAAGCAGCTGTGTAGCAATGGTAACACACTTCTGTGGCTTGCATGAGGCTCTTGGGCACCGCCTGTTTTGTTTGTTTTTAAAGGTACAGAGTTGCTAGCAATGTCTTTCAATTAGGCGTGTCAGTGTCCAGGGCATGGGGAGCTGGGGATCAGATCAGGACACCAGGACCCAGGCAACCTGTATGGGATACGGGCCTATTCAAAACCACAGTCCAGAGGTGAGGCCAGTAACAGAAGGACAAGGCAAGTCAGCCCAAATAGTGAGGAGTAGTCAGAGCCAGTCAGGAGTCAAAAGCCAGAGAGGCAGGCCAAGGAGAAGCAGGTACCTGGGACTGGAACAGAAGGTGGAGTAGGCAAAGGCCAGTAGGAGCCAGAAGCAGAGGCGGGAGCAAGGTGACACACAGAGTTTCCAGAAACAGGCTCCAAAAACATTGGTGAGCTTTGTTGCTGAGGCAGTGTCTGGAGGGAAGAGTCCATTCTTCTATAGCTCTTTCCTCAGGGCTCCCAGGTGGTCTTGTAACAGCCCAGGTGGCCACAGTGGACTGTGGGCCTGGGCCTGCAACCACCAGGTCTGCTGTTCTGGCCCTGGCCAGAAGAGGGAGACCAGTGCTGCCTCAGGGCCTCACAAAGGGATGCTTTGGCCTTGAATCTGGAGATTAAGGATTCTTGAGAGCTGATGATGGAGGAGAGAGGATACTCTATACTCCCTCTAGGAGAGTGGTGGCAAACCTATGGCATGTGTGCCACATCGGGCAAGCAGAGCCCTCTCTGGCAGCATGCGAGCCAAGAAGCCCCAGCATCGCCCCAGCGGCCGAGGTTTGGATAACAGTGCACATAGGGGCCATGTGCATGCTCGGAAAGGAGTAACGGCGACAGGTGATGATGTCACGAGCTGCAAATCATTAGCTGTGACTTGTCCGAGCTTTCGCATGGCCAGTCAGTACACTGCCAAGTGTGTGTGTGTGTGTATTTGCTTGGACAGGCGGTGAGTTGTTTTTTCTAAACTAAAACCTCAGTTTTCAGGTTTTATTGCAGTGTTGGCACTTCGCGATAAGTGGGTTTTGGGTTGCAGTTTGGGCACTTGGTCTCTAAAAAGTTCACCATCACTCAGTTAGGGTTAGAAAAATGAGGTGTCCTGGCAGGGTTTGATGGTTGGATTGTGTTTAGAATGGGCAGAAATGATGAGCTGTGCAGAAAAACCTACTCAAGGACGGCTTTTTAAAAATCACCCTCTTTTCAGTGGAACTTTTGCCCTGTAGTAGGGGTAGGGGTGTGCACCAGGGTAGGGTTAGGGTTAGAAAAACAAGGTGTCCTGGCATAATTCTGATGCTTGGAATGTGTTTATATTGGGGAGAAATGATGAGCTGTGCAGAAAAAGCTACTCAAGGAAGGCTTTTTCAAGTCACCCTTTTTTCAGTGGAACTTTAGCCTTCTTTTAAGGTTAGCGGTGTGCACCAGGGTAGGGTTAGGGCAGTGCTGGTGAGCCTATGGCATGCGTGCTGCAGCGGGCACGCAGAGCCCTCTCTGTCGGTATGCAAGTCAAGTCACCCGAGCAACGGAGCAGCGGATAACAGTGCACCTAGGGGCTGTTCATGTGCATTCTCGTAAAGGAGTAACAGTGCCAGGTGATGATGTCACAAGCCGCAACTCTTTAGCTGTGACTCATCCAAGCTTTCGCATGGCCCGTCTGTGCACTGCCGAGAGAGAGAGAGAGTGTGTGTGTGTATTTGCTTGGACGGGCTGTGAGTTGTTTTTTATAAACTAAAACCTCAGTTTTCACATTGTATTGCAGTGTGGCACTTTGCAATAAATAAGTGGGTTTGGGTTAGGGTGGGTCACCGTTTGGGCACTCGGTCTCTCATAGGTTCGCCATCACTTCTCTAGGATGTATCCTACTGCTTTGAAGGTGGGATCTCTAGAACTGAGTGCTTGTCCTGCGGTTCCAAGGATTGGGGTCCGCCATGCCTTCATCCCTAAAAACCGGGATAGAGAAGTGCCCACGCAAGCCCCGTGCTGCTCACACCTCCCACTTGGCCAAAACGCCCCGTGTTGAGCCCAGAGTGCTGCCTTGCTTGCCCAGCATGGCTGCACTGCGTGTTCTGTTGCCAGGATGCTGGGCTGGTGGCTCCAGGCACCAAAGCCCCTTGGTGCCATAGGCCACAGCGCCTGTGTTGCATGTCTGCAGTTCGTGGTTCAGGCTCCCGTTACTTCCATGTGGTTGGGCTGGAAGGGAGAGGCTTGGCAGTGCTGGACCAGTTGGACCAATTGTCTATGCTCATTGCCAGGTAGCTTCTTTGGTTCATTTCCAATTTGTGAAAGATCTTGTTTTTCCCATTTCAAAATTCTTTCCCCTCTACCAGTCTGCATGTTCTGTTATTTCTTTGGTAAATCAGAAATGAGTATGTTCTCTTTCATCTGTAGATGGTGCAGCGAATTGCCCCAGCTGAGCAATGCCTCTGTCTCTCTCTGTCTCTCACTCAGTCTCTCTCTCTCCATCTCTCCTGCTCTCTCTTTTTCCGCCTTTGTAGAACAGCTTCTCCTAAACTAGTGTGCTCCAGAGGTCTTGGCCCTGACTGCATCCAGCCCTGGCTAGTGTGGCCCATGGCCCAGAATCCTGGGAGTCCTGGTCCAAAGCATCCGGAGGGACGCGGCCTGGGGAAGGCTGCTGCGTAACACATCCCTTCCCAGAATCACAAAGAATGCCACTTGTCATTTGAAAGAGCAGGGCAGTGTGCAGCACCAGCACCTGCAAATCCACCTGGCTGGTTCTGAGCTCATCCTTTCTTTCTCTCCCTCTCTTCTCAGGCACATCCTCATCTGCATCGCCGCTTACCTGGGCTGTGTCTGTTTCGCCTACTTCGACGCCGTCTCAGAGATCCCCGAACAAGGGCCGGTCATTAAGTTCTGGCCCAGTGAGAAGTGGGCTTTCATTGGGGTTCCTTATGTCACCCTCCTCTGTGCTCACAAGAAATCGCCTCTGAAGATCACATGAACCTTTGGATATGCAGGCAGAAGCCCGTGGACTCTAGATCTCTATCTCCCCCTTCCCTCTACAAACTGTGATTTCTGTAATGGGGACCCCAAGGACAATTTTCTATTCTTTCTGACTCTGAAGCCCACCATACGCACAAAGGGTTTAGGAGCAATCTGCAGGACCTCTCCTTTGCACCCCTTCTTTGGACCCTTAAAATCCCCATTTGGTGCTTTCCTATTAAACGTCTGAATTAGCGCATGTTCGATGTTTATTTTGCACACTTCCTGCAGTGTTCTCCAAAAGCTTTGCCTGGGCAAAGGCTGGAAACGTGAGACTGCTGCCACAGCCAACGAGCCCATGCCTTCACTTTCCTCCTCTAAAGGTCCTAGCAGAAATCTGTGTGATCGTCACATCTCTCTGCCTCGTGGACCGGCCAGCATTTATGGGAGGAAGGGAAACTTGGATCATGTGGGCCTTTTTCTCGGGTGTAGACTAGGAGCCATGTGGGCTTATCCCATAATGTCTGGCCCATGCTCTGTCTCTGAGGGTATTCTTATGCGGGCATTTCCCCCCTTTGAATTGGACAACTAGCCATAGGATCCTGCTGCACCGAAGGGCCTTAAACAGAACTGCTTTGCAAGTTGTCCCCTTCGTCCTTCTTGCCCCTTGGTCTACATTACACATTCCCCAACTGTGTGAATGGAACAAGTCTCTACACTCTTGCTTTCTGGGAAAAAAGGGGGCGTTATCACTTAAGAGGCAGGTTTTCTTCTTGGTCTGTGGTTTAGTAGCGTCTCTGCCTAGGACAGAGGCCGTTCTCAGCACAAGTTTGCCACTGACCTGTCTCTAAGGTGCAGCAAAGGCCCCCAACTTCGAAAAGACCGCCGTGCTGCTTTCTTGCAGAAGTTTGGCATGCAGACGGTTGCAAATGACCATGCTGGCCTCGGACATGTACTCCTCTGATTTTCAAGCTGTGTTAAAGGTGTAGGAGCAAGCAAAAAATAAAAGAGTAATTTTTTCCTAGTGAGTACGCAGTCCCTGTGCAGCACGCAGCCATTCCCAGTCTAGTCCCTTCAGATGTTTTGGACAACAGCGCCCAGGATTCCTGGCCATTGACCAAGTGGGCTGGGGCTGATGGACACTGAATCCTCAAAATGTCTGCAGGGGGCCTAACCAGAGGAAAGCTGCTGTGGAAAGGGAGCACTGGAGAAAAGCTTTCTGTAGCAATTCAGACAAAGGGACTGAAGGAACTTTCACTCGCTTTCTCATGATTTCTGTGTTCTTGACCCGCAGCAGCCTACAACTCATGCTGATGTCAGGCACAATCCTAGGTGTGTTCAGGCAGAAAAAAGCCTACAACTCCCAGGAGTTCTGACATTTCTTTTCCTGGCTAAACACCCCTAGGATTGCATTTTAACAGAAGCTGTCTCTGGTTCTGCCTTCCTCACTCAGGACTATCAGCTTGCTTGTTTGCTTTATTTATTTATTTTAAATATTTATATCCCGTCCTATATGCTGGGTATCTCAGGATGGCTTACAAGAACCAAACAATCCATAGTCAAAACAACAATTAACAATAATTAAAAATGTACATGAAGCCAACAGAAACATATTGTCAATGAGAACAAAATCAAGATCAAAATTGAAACAAAACCAAAATGCAACTGCGGATAATTAAAAATCGGTTAAAATTCCTAGTTCTTAAAATGATGAGCAAATAAAAAGGTTTTCACTTGGCGCCGAAAAGAATATAAAGTCGGTGCCAGGTGAACCTCTCTGGGGAGCGCCTTCCAGAGTCTGGGCACCACCACAGAAAAGGCCCTCCTCCAGGTGAAGAGCGTCTTTACCTCTTGCAGGGAGGGTTCCAGGGCAGAGCCTCTCTGGCCAATCTTAAGGGGCGCAAGGTCCTATAGGGAAGGAGACATTCCTTCAGGTATCCTGGTCCCAAGCCAGAGCTTGGCTCCGAAGAGCTCCCCTTGTGGCTTCTTGCTGGTGCCTCATCATGAGGAAGCTGCCGGGAGCTGCGGGCAGGGCTGACCCCAGTCACGGACACATTCATGGTGGTGGTTTGGCATTGCCAGGGAGCCGAAGCAGCCCCCTTCCCTTTGGCGACCTGCGGTACACTCAGGCTGGGATGACCAGGTTGTGTGCCCCAAGACGTGCAAATGCAGAAGTGTTGTCGCGATCTGGTTTTCGAGTTTGCAATGACACGGACAAATTGGAGGAACTGGAAATCCGTCGTAAAGACTGGGTGGGAAATCGGGTGGCATAAAAGGGGCCTGGAACAGAGCACACGAATCACACAGTAGGACAACTCCAGTGGCAAGCTGAGCTAGGAGCTCTAAAAGGACAGCACTTTGCTCATCGATGTGAAATTTAAAGGCTGGATCGATCATTAAAGGCCAGCATTTCTGTAGATTAACTGGCCTGGGGTGGGGGGGGGGGGAGAGACTCCAAATGCTGGATCTACTTGCTAGATCTTGGTTTTATTCTTAACATTTTGTGTGTTGATTGTCACAGATAGAAAATCGAAAAACCACTGAGAGGTTATGGGGGCTGAGAAAGCATTTTACTTTTAGGAATGTATACCGTCTCTTGTTTTCGTTATACAATTCATATATGTCACGGAATACTGTATTCTGACTACTTGCCATTGAGATGATGAGGGTTTGATTTAAATAGACCCCTTCCTCCAATAGAATACTTTAATCTCAGTGTAATTAGTTAGAGAATCAAAGCTCTGTAGGGAAATCCTGACAATACTGTCAGTACAACTTGACCACTCTCCAGAAATCAATATTGTTAACAGTTAAAATATTATGCAAGCACAGTTCTCGAAAAGATTAATGCAGCAATCATCTCCGGGATTTTTAAAAGCAATTTATCTTTTAATCTGCTCTTAAATCTCAGGCTCTCAGCAAGCAAACAAATTTGGGAAGGTTGACATTCATTGTGAATCTGTTTAGTTTTACGTGGCCATGATGGCAAAATTTCAGAAGGTGCTCTCAGCGGATGCCGCACTGGTCTGCTGGTTTAGCTTTGAGTTTCCCAACCCCGTTTCAAGAGGAGCAAAGGCCTTCCTTCAGTGGCACTGCTTAGGAAATCACGGATGCTGTTTGTGCATTCCAACCAGCACATTGCAAATTTTGTGTGAGTCAGTGACATTCCCAGATTTAACATTTGATCGGTAAACATGATTAATATAAGCCTCTGATATTCCAGCTGCATCTGAATTGGGGAGACAGCAGGGCTGTAATGTGAAATTTTGGGCATCAGCTCAAGCAGAGAATAGCTTGGTTTAACCCATATCCTAAGCAAAATTGTGATTATTCTAACCCATCTTCATAAACTGTTCAGTTTCAGTGTTGTGGTTTCTTCCCTTTGCACAAGCCACAAACAATGAAGCTTTTCATTAACCACAGTTTTCTGTTTTATTTAAATCAGTAAATTATGATTGCCAGATTCAGAACAAATCAGGTTAAACCATAATTTGAAGCTCTGAACCTTGATAATCACAGGGCTGAAACTGATGTTACTTTAAACCTGTGTCTAGTACTGATGTCTTTTTCTTACCTTAGACTAGGCCCAGAGGGGCGGATCCAGATCTTCAGAGATTGGGGGGAAATGTGCCTACTGCAGCATAAAAAAGAAAAATAGTTACTGTATAAGGATCTAAGCTCCTATTGGTCTTTGCACATAGTTCCACAGTTTGGATGCAATGAGAAGCTATGGGGAACCGGAGACTTCCTGAGAAGGGGCAGCATGCTTTGGCCAAATGCTCTCTTGTGTTTTGACTTACTAGGCTGAGACAGGATTGGCGAAATAGTCCCTGTGACAAGGGCAGCCATAAGCTCAAGCCTGGCTTCTGGCGGGACAAAGCAGGTGACTGCTTGATGCTGACAGTGAAGATGGGGCAGGTGTGTGTGTGTTGGGACTGCCCCATGACTTGCTTTGATGCCAGAAAGGTTGCATGCTGTGTGTGTGTGTGTGCAAACATTTCCAGTTCTGCTCTCCTGGCCATGCAAAATCTGTTGCAAGCAAAGCACGCTGGTTCTGCTGGCTCCCAAAGCAGGGGTGCTTCTCTTAATATGATCGCAGGCCACGAGTGTAGCCAAGGTCTTGTGCTCTACTGGGGCACGGATGGGCAGAAGGTAGATCCCCACACAGTTTGGACAACGGCTCTCAGAAGTCCCTACCAGCAGGCTAATGACCGGGAATGCTGTGAGTTGGTTGGACACAGTGCAAGATCTTTCTGCCCACCCCTGTACCAGCGGCTGCTTTCGCCCCTCCTCTCAGGGTGACTTGCTCAGGCTCCTTTAAGTTGCCAGCTTTTGCTCTGGGCATTCTTGGCATCCGTGCTGACCTGGTTCAAGAACCACGGTCCTGCGCCTTCCAGCTGGTCTCTAGGAGTCTTGCTTGCTGCTTTTCCCGCTAACATGGACATCACAGCATTGCTACTTGTCAGATCTGCAGCCCTGTTTACTAGTTACTTTCCTTCTTGCATCCGGTCCTGCAACTTCTTTTTCCCGGTGCTTCCTGTGCCTTTCAGAGCTGCCAGGTGCAGAGATGTTCCAGGCTACTGCAGGAACCTTCCAGGAAGAGAGGACACGTCTGCTGATGTGATGCAGCTCTAAAAGTCACAGGCCCTTCTCAGATGAAGTGGGAATACTTAGATTATGGAGCACCCCCTCAAGGCTCCTGAGCCAAATTGCCAGCGGAGGCATACCTCATTTGCCACCCAGGGGCAGGAGCACGGCTGAGGCCAGGATGCCCTGAGCCAGGACCTGCCATTCTAGCTCCGACCTCCAATAAAACAGGTTGCTGCCATGAGCCCTTGCTCCAATAAAGTCCGGAAGCTTTATCTGTGTGCACACCTGGAAATGGCAGCTGCAGCTGTCAGGAGCTCTTGAATGGCTCCTGAGACAACCAGATGAATCTCAACAGAAACAGCTTCAAGAAACAGACTTGAAAAAGATCAGCCTTTCCCCACCTGGTGGCCTGCAAAAGCTTGGGATTGCAACTCCTAGTTCCTGATAGCATGGCTTGTGGCTGATGTGAATTGAAGTCCAAAACATTTGGTAGACACTCCTCAGGACAATGCTCCATGTGGGCCAAGATATGAGGGTTGCAAGAAGTTTTCAGTAAATCTGCAAATGATACAATGGGTCTGTTAGTTTCTTCAGAATCACAGACTCCTTTTTCCATCAGATGACTGAACCCTGAAATACTAGCTGAGTTTTTTGTTTATGAAGGACACT